GGAGCAGGGCCTAGCTCTTCTTGTGGTTTCTTGGTTCCAGCCACATGTTTCAGGCTGTCTGTCCTAGTGCTGGTGCCTTCCCTGTGCCTTAGTTTGAAGTGGCTGTAACAACGACTCCCACGACTTCCCGTGATCCCTCCAGGATGCTTAACCGTGGTTCTTTGTTGGCTTTCTTCAGCAAAAATGGATCATTCAGGCAAACTCTGTCTCTCCTCTTTGTGCTTGGAAAACATAACCCTGTGCAGACACAGAGCAGAGGCTGGAGCTGCGCAGAGCCTGGTTATGTGCAAGGAACTGTTCCTGTGACCGTGTCTTTTCCCCCTTACAGTCTCTCCCTGGGTTTTTCTGCAAAAGTGGCCGCTTTTGTGCAAAAACTTGCCAGCTGTCTACACTGGCCGCTTGACGTTCCACTGTCCGAAATCAGTGCTTCTTGCGCAAATGCTTTGACGTTCCCGTTCGGGCAAAAGCCCTTTTCCGGAAATGTTTTTGTGCAAGAGGGCCAGTGTAGACAGCTAAAAACTGTTTTTTGCAAAAAAAGCCCCGATGGCAAAAATGGCAATTGGGGCTTTCTTGCGCAAAACCACGCCTAGATTGGCACGGATGCTTTTCCGCAAAACGTGCTTTTGCGGAAAAGCATCCATGCCAAACTAGACGCTCTTTTCTGCAAATGCTTTTAATGGAAAAACGTTTCCGTTAAAAGCATTTGTGGAAAATCATGCCAGTCTAGACGTAGCCTAGGTGTTGCTGTGGCATTGCGTGCACGTTCTGGTGTATGGATGGGGGCAGCTAATGTACTTCCTTGATCATCAGCCTTTTGCAGCCACCCCCTGGAAACATTCTAGCTCCCCATCTCTTAGTTCAAACTGATTTCTCCAGGACCCAGAGGCAAAGAAAGTGTTTTAGATAAATCACCCGGTTTTTAGACTGGCTCAGGACCTTCTTCCAGCAAATGGGTAGGGCCCCAGGCCCACAGAAGGTGCCAATCCTTAGGGAAGAGTCGCAAAGACAGGTGCTTGCTCTGAACTGAAATTCATTCTCCCCTAGTAGGCCATAGAATATGTGAGGAGGAAGGTGGGAGCTGAAATGCTGTCATTTACCTTTCTCAACTCTCCTGCTGCCACTGCAACTAGATTGAATATTTCAGAAATATTCTCAACAGCAACCCCTGACCACACTGCACAGGAAGGACAAAGAGCCTACATGTAGTTTCTCGCTAGGAAACAACCCTTTCTGCTTCTTTTAATTGGACAAGCCAAGTTCTTCTGAAGGGGGGCTTAAAATTTACAAGCCCCATGGGGGTTCACACTGCACAGAACATTAGCAGCAGCATCTGTGCCAGTGGGACTTTTCCAGAGGCCGGGGGGAAACGCCTCTCTTTGCAAGGAGCTCTGGGGCCACTAAACCTCCCCACAGCTGGCCCAGGATCTAGCAGCAGTGTGGAGGCTTGTGGATGGGCTGCTGAGGTGGGGTCAGTTCAGAGGTAGCTCCGAGATGGTGGTGGGGAGAGAGTGATGAATCTGTGTATGTCCAGGGCAGTGGGAACAGACACAGCCCAGTTGCTGAGGGTGAAGCAACAAACGCTCCAGAGTCTGGAGAGCAGGAGGCTCTAGCCTCGGCAGTGACTCTAGTCTCATGTGAAAACAAAGAAGTGGGGGCTGAGTTCATCCTGTGACTGAAATGATTGAATAAGGGAAGCTTCTCTGCCCACTGCTTTAAGGCCATGGCACTAGCTGGTTCCCAGAATATTTTTTACGTCCGTGGTATCATGTGGTCTTTGGGTATCATAGAATCAATTGGAAGGGACATCGAGAGGTTATGAAGTCCAGTCTCCTGCCCTCACAGCAGGACTAAGCACCATCTAGAATCTAGATCATCCCTGATAGATGTCTAAACTGCTTTTAAATATCTCCAGTAATGGAGATTCCACAATCTCTCACGGCAATTGATTCCAGTGCTTAACCAGTTAGAAAGTTTTTCCTAATATCCAGCCTAAACCTCCCTTGCTGAAATTTAAGTCCATTGCTTCATGTCCTGTCCTTAAAGAGTGTTCAAAATAATTTACCTGCCACCTGCCTCCTGCTTGTAACACATTTTAAATATTTGCAAACTGTTTTCATGTCCCCTCTCTGTCCTCTCTTCCCCACACTAAATCCAATTCTTTCACTCTTCAATAAATAGGCCATGTGTTCTAGGCTCCTAATCCTTTTTACTGCTTTTCTCTGGACTTTTTCTGAGTTGCCCACATCCTGCCTGAACCATGGTGCTTAGAACTTGACACAATACTCCAGCTCCTGGCATTAAAATTCCCTTATCTTCTAATGATCCTCAGCTCTCTCCCTTTCCACCAAATGTACTTGCTGAAAAGATCTAAGAAGGTAAAGGAGGTTTCCAGATCTCTTCTATTTATTTAAATCCCCCTCTCCCCCACTGAAGAGAACCATGTGTTGTGATGTGTTTTTGCTACAGCCACTTTCACCAGCTCAGTGTCTTTTCTCACCTGTATAGCAAAAGTTCTCTGGCACTAGGTAAAGGCAGCGTAATTGGAAGCAGGACTTGTAATCAGGAAGTGTCAAGCATCCTTACGTAGCCGTCACTCTGCTTGTGGGTTTAACCCTGGTTAAAGCATGGGGACGCAGGCTGTGTGGAAGCGCTGATGCACACTTAAGCTCTGGACTTCTCCGTACAGAACCCAGTTCTTTGTTTTGCAGGCTGGGCGATGTGACCACCAAGACTGCAGAATTTTTTACATGATAGGGGATGGGCAGTTTTAACTGGTGGCTTTACACCCTGACAGCCAGCTCCTCCCCTGTAGGGTGTCTACAGGCAGTGTGTGATGTTAGGGCCGAGCCGAGATGTGCCAGAATCGTCACTCCACCCCCTCTCCAGGATATCTGGGGATTACAGTAACATGAAAACCTAATCTGTCCTCCCTCCCTCAACCCTGGGTTGGTTTTGCAAAATCTCCTCTGTTAAACTTCTGTTTGGCAAAACAAAAGCCAAGATGCCGGCCTTCCGCCAGTTTGCTTTTCTCTAGTGGTAGGTCTCCTCCTGTACTTTTGTGAGTGACACCTCCAATTTACTTCATATCTTTGCCCACAGGAGACTTGATTCTCCCTCCAACCATCTTCCCAAGAGCTGAGTCACTACAATTGATTTCACCTTGGGAGATACTCTCTCCCTGGAGGGCAAACTGGGACTCTGAAGAGCTTTGGTAGGCGGGGTGTTCAGACTGTCTGCATTGCCCTGAGGTTTGGGTTCAGTGTGAGGCTGGGAAGAGAACTGAAAAGGAGAAGGAAGTGTACAAAGGGATTGTGTGAGACAGGCAGCACGAACCGGCGGTTATATCGAAATGTGCCACAGAAGTAATGCATTGCTGACCTCCTTCTTTTTTTACACCATCCAGCTCTGAGATCCTAACACTGACCCTGTCCCCTTGTGCTCCCAGTCACCCTGAGCCCACAGTGTGTAACACAGGGGGAACGAGCTCTTCTGGGCTGACCCAGCCCTTTCTTGGGATTTGCCAGACTTGAAGGGAGGAGAAAGCAGGTTTGCCTGGGCAAACTGGAGAAGAGACCAGGCTTCAGGCCACAGCTCCAGGAAAGGGACTGGCCTAAGGGAAGACATTCTTACATGCCCACTGCCCAGTGTCTCCCCCTGGAGAAAGGGGTGCCTGTGCTGCATCCAATTTGAGCCTGTGAGCCCAGTGTGGGAGCTGAGGAAGCAGTGGCTCCACCATGGCACTGGAACAGTTGCTTTGGGTTCACTGACCACCTCTCCAGAGCTGCCAATCTGAGACATGCCCAGGGGGGCCCTCATGACCACAGCGGCATGGCAGAACACGTGGATGTGGCAGGCCAAAGGCCCTACCCTGGTCCCTAGGGGCATCCTGGGACAGGACCATGGAAACGGTGCCTCTGTGCTTCCCCTGGACCAGGGCACCCAGCTAGTTCCCCACCATCCCGTGGGGGCCATGCACACACTTGTCTCCCTCGGGGGATGATGGGTCATTCTCTCCTGCACTGGAGCCTTGCTGGATTGGAAGAGCCATGTGGGGTACCATGCTGGAGCTGAGCAGGGGAGGGGCAGCACACTCAGGTGGAACTCTCCCCCGCTGCATGACTGGGTGCATGGGCATGGCCGAGGGGCACAGGACGGGTCTGTAGCTAATACAGAAGACAAAGAGAGACAAGTTGTCTTTGATGGATTTTATTGTCTGTTTCTAAATGGCCCAAAGGGCTGGTCCTTGCTCAATGCCCCAGAGGAAGGCGAAAAACCTCCAGAGTCTCTGGCCAATCTACTCTGGAGGAAAATTCCTTCCTGATCCCAAATATGGCGATCGGTTTCACCCTGTGCATGCGAGCAAGGACCCACTGGTCATAATGGCTACATACCCTGTCTTGGCAGGCCCTGGTCTGTGTCCCTGTATTAACCAATCTCCAGGGCTTTCCTCTTCTCCCATGCAGCCCCCTTCTTGCATCTCAGTTGATGGAACCCACTCTTCTCTTAACTCAATAATGCACCATGCAACTTTTGAACATTGTTTCTTGAATGAGGTCAACACAGGCTGTTTCCTTCCTCTGAAAGTACAACCACTGAATTACACTCAGCCGTGATAAGCAGGTTCCTCCCCTCTTGACAACGATGCATCCCCTTGGCTCCTCTCAGACTCTGAGATATGTGATCACCTGTAACAAACTCATTGGGACAACATAAGTTAGCAATTTTGTGGAGCTCATGGTTTGCACATGTTAGGCTTGTCACATGCTTCTCTTACCTCTCATCAGAGCCAATTCTGTGGCTCTGTTGAATGGAGTGTCTGGGGTTTCATATCTTCAGAGAACCAATTGTCCTTCAGGATGATAGGAATGGCTTTGAGCCATTCATTGGAGCTGGAAAATCTGAGCATCTGTAACCCTGATCTCCTGAAAAGGCAAATCTGCTTTGCAAGTTAGTTCTCAAAAAGCCCAGCCATGGCTGTAGGGGTCAAAGTTGGACAAGGAATGTGGTTGCTCATTGGTTTTACGGTCCCAGAAATGTTGCTAAAGGGAACAGATTGTCAAGTACTTTGTACAACGGAACCACAAACACTCACCGCCTTGTCGGTCTGCCACATTGTGGATTTGAAACTTGATGGTGATGAGTCTCTCCATTTTAGTCACGGAAGGAAAACTTTCCTTCCTCTCTGCAGATTTGGTTTCATCTTCCTTTATTCTTAATAATGCGACTGCTTATAGCTTTCAATCCCTGTGAGATTCAATTGGCTGCATTTCTGTCACCTGAAAAGGAAACCCAGGATACATTAATTCCTTCTCCAGCATTCTCAGGTGAGTTCCTTACCTCTTGGCCTCAGTGAGGGATCTTTTAGGAACTTCCTGAAGTTTTCTCACCCTCAGAGTTCAGATCAGCTGTATTTCCCACATCTGAAAAATGAGAGGATCCATTCATTTCCACTCCAATGTTAAAAAAGGAGTTTTTTGGTTTTTCTTACCAACTGATATGCCTGGCTCAGCTCATTCCAATTGCATTAATCCCTTCTAGAGTACAATAGTCCTCTGGTCTCCTTCCATCTGGAGATATGTGATCTGCAGTAACAATCAATGAGTGCCAGATTGATTGATTCATTTGGTGTGTAAGTGTGGTTTTAGCAGCTGTTTCATCTGACAACCAGGGAAACTGAAATGCTCACCTCAGTGTGTGATGTGCTGCTGAATTGCTTCCAATTTGGATTTGCATCTAGCCGACCTGTTTGAAATAACTGACCTTTATTTCCTTGATTCCAATCACAAGAGACTGTTATTTCCTCCATGGGTTGAGAACCGGGAAAGTCCATGAGGCTTTAAGTTTTGTATTTGCTTTGCTCAGGTAAGGTCAACAACCAGTTCTTCTACCTGAAAGTGAAATCAACACTGCTTGATATACACATGGCTATGTGGAGTCTGGTATTTCTTACCTCTTGTGGAGGACAGCCATTTCCCCTCCCTTCTTCCTAGTAGGAATGGCCATCTGTTCACATTTCAAATCAGGAAAACCTGCAATCATCAATGTTTGACAGAATTTTATTGTTATTATGACTCGTTACCAGCTATGAAGCACTTTCAATGGAGACTGTTCCTTAGCAGCCAGATCATTAGAATTTTCAGTGCCCACCTGCTCGTCATGATGTTCTATGGCATGGCTCTGATTCTTGGATGCTTATGGCCAGCTAGATGGGTTAAAACTTGAAGCACAAAATTGGCAAATTTTTGTTTTTTTCTGGACTAGAGGGAATTTTTTCCCCTTTGGGCAGGTATAGCACCTGTCTGACTTAACCCTTTCTTCAGCAGCTTCCTATCTTCCTCCCTTGAATGATAAGACTTTCATTTCACCTAAAAATAGAAATGGAAACTGTTATTCCTGGCCCTGCACTCTGAGGATATGGATTTCTTACCTCTTGATAGAAATGATAAGTTCCACTGATTTCTTCTTCCCTTTTATCCATAGGCAAGAATGATCAATCCTGCAGTCGTGGATTAACTCATCTCTGAAAATGGAAGGGAAGATTAAAGCTCCTTTTTATGCTGCAATTAGTTTTATTTTTGTTTGAAATAACATAACTGCTACTGCCTTGTAGGAACAATCCACAGCACTATCTGGAAAGGAAAAAAGAGGTGCTATCGCAATTACGGGTTAGAATTGCCAGCTGCTTTCCTTACGTTTGAAGGAGCTCCCAGTTTGTGTTCCAGTGTTCTGTAGAGCAGCTTCTTGTGTCCTTGTGTGTCTTAACTTCCTTTCTTTAGAGACATGCATATTTCACAAGTTACCATTTCTTCCACCTGTGAATATGACCAGAACCATTGACTGTTGTGGGCAATGAAATGTGTAATGTATTTCTTACCTCCCAAAAAGGATGGATCAGTTAGGTCAACTAATTTCTTCCTGGAAACTGCATCTTTTCATCTCAAAATAGGGCCTGCTGCAAAGAGCTGTTTGACAGACAGTATTTTAGTCAGGAAACAAATGTCAATGATTTGTCCTTGGATTAATTTAAGAGTAAGTAAAATGCATACCTTCTGTGGGATGAACTGCTGTATCAGTTTGTTTGTTTCTCTCTGTACAATCAGCTGTATTGTTTAAAATCTAGTGGGTATAACTTACTATTTCCTTATCTTTGAACGGAGCAAGTAGATAATTCTCTGACCTTTCAGCAGCTTTGGTTCTGTACATTGCTTTATACTTACAAAACTTGCTAGTAGACTTTGACAACGAAAGATGGATTCACTGCCTTTACCTGAAAGTAGAATTAGGTTGGTTAGTTTCCTCTACATTGCTATGAGAAGGTGAATCCCTCACTTTTTTATAAGAAGACTCAGTTTCTCTTTTTACGTCTTACGTGGTACAATAGGAACCTCTGATAGATTAGATGCAATGATCACATCAGCAGAACCAGGTTGTTGCAATGTCATCTCTGGAAAGGTGATGACACTTGTACCCTTTCCTGTTTGCATTGTACAAATGCATCCTGTTTTGCTGCTATCTTGGCAAAGGAAATCAGGGTTCTACAGGATCCTAAAGGAATCATCCAAAGTCTCTCCCACAATCCCATCCACTTCTTCTGTTCTACTCCTGTCTCTTCTCCTGTATCCTTTTTGCCTGCCCCTTTCTCTCCTCTCCCTCTAGTCTCTCCTCTCTAGTGTTTCTTTCTTAGCTAGTCCAATTTCTCCCCCTCCTCCCTTATCGATACCTCCCTCTACCCACCAACCTTGGCCCTGCATTTCCTTCCTCCTTTGTCCTGCTGTGTCTCCTTCCCATCTTTAGATTAGGAGGAAACTGAGTGCCAGAAGACCATACTGCCTTGCCATGGTCCCAATCTTCATACCCACAGGCAGTAGCCATGTGCTCTGTGTGGCATTCTGGTGTGAAATGCTGTAGCCCACGGTGACTGACCTAATAAAATGACTGCATCACAACTGAGTCATGGGTCATTGTCCCCCCTCCCTCCTTATTTGGGCAAAGTGAGCAAAGTGACCAGCCCCAAATCCCTGCCAGAGGAGCTGTAGGGGGAGGGCTCAGTCTGGCTCTAAAAACTGGAATGAGTTAAATTACACTTCAGATCTAGAGTCACGGGCTGGGCTCTGCTAGTTCCAGGCTCATGGCCAGCTCCTTACCTGTGATTTGGATGGGGTGGGACTTATTCAGCCCTTGCCTGTGAAGGCTTATGCCTGGGTCTCTTCCCAGTCTGTCTCTGTCTCTGTTGGTTTCAGTTACTGCCCTTGTGACGGAATGTTCCGCCTCCGTCACAATGGGCCCATTCTGAGCAGAGCTGAGTTCTTCCATCTCCCTTGGGAACCAGTAGGAGCTGTGGGTGCCCGGCCCCCTCTTAGGACAATCCACATTGGCTGTGTCTCATGGTGTTGCGCCATCAGTGCCATGTGGTATCCTCCCTCCTCTATTATAGGCTAATCACCGCAGAATGTGCCACCCGTATAGAACCATCACACACCCCTGCCATGGTGCTGGGGTCTCTGAAACAATGACACCTGTTGTGGGTTGCTTGTGTGTGTTGTGTTGTCACAGCTCTAGCCAGGTAGCTAGGCCAGCAGATCAAACTGCCCAAAAGATGACCGAGTTGGTTAGGTGGGCAAAGGCTCTTGACCAGGTTTCTTGTTTACAAAGCACAGCTCGGTCAGCAGCAGGGCTCTGTGTGGCTGAGGGGCAGTGGAAAGACGTATCTTCTGTGACCGCTCTTTTATACACTGATATGAACGAGTAACGTATTACCCTACACCTAGTTCAGGTGTTGGTTGAAACAGAACTTCTCCAGCCATTATCTTGCTCTTCTGACTGTCTCTTCAGGAGGGCTCTGTATGTCCTCTGGCCCTTTTCAGGGAGTCTGTGTTGATCCCATAGCTCTTTACCAGAACATTCTTGTACTGCCCTGCTGGGATGTGTTTAGTGAATAGCCGGTGACTGATACGACCTCAGACAGCCCGTGTTTCTTGTTCCAGCCCTATGCTTCAGGTTCTCTGACCTAGTGCTATTGCCTTCCTGTAGCCAGACACGAACCCCATCTTGGTTTCTGTCCCCCACAGAGAGCAAGAGAAAGGCAGTCAGCCTTTGATGCCCTGGGAACACAGGTGTGCTGCCTGTCCCTGACTCTACCATAAACAGAAACCAGACAGTAAATCAGAGTCCAGTTGCTGAGGTTGAAACAGCAAATGCTCCAGAGTCTGGAAACCAGGAGGCTCCACTCCCAGCAGTGTCTCTAGTCTCATGTGTAAACAAAGAAGTGGGGCCAAATTTGTCCACTGGCTGAATAAGGGAAGCTTCTCCGCCAACTGGCTGAAGGCCTTGGGACTAGCTGGCTCCTAGAATAATTTTCACTTCTATGGTGTGATATGGTCTTTGGGAATCATAGAACACTTGGCCCATTGGCCAACA